TTAAATTATATATATATATATATATCTTATAGGATTATATAAGGTTATATTGGATTATATATATGTATATAGTCATATAGCATTACAGAGGATTAAAAAATGTATTAAATAAAATTTCTTCCAGAAGTTATATCAGTAATATTCTCTTTCACTCTGACAAAATTAAATAAAATTTTACAAGCAACTGTCCCTAACCTAAAAGTTTTAAAAGCGTAGAATCTTCTTGCGCTTCTCTTTTACGCAGTTTCGAATACACCAACAAGGTTAATTTACGTAGCCTCGCAGAACAAGCGTATTTTCTGAATTTTATGAAACAAAAACTAATTGCAAGCCACCGCTCAGAAACTTCGCGCATCATGTATGCGCAATTTGTAATTTGCAACCATGTCGTGCACCTCACATCCGTGCGGTATAATCCAGCCCATTTTCTTGAGAAAAAAGAAAAAAACAGAATCTCAGAATACCTTTGCAAACTTCATTCTACCCATCCAACTTGTTTCCACCGAAAACATCGTACTACAATTTCCAATGCATTCTCCGCTTCTACATCGTTCTACTTCCGACTGTGTAAAAGAGAAAAAAGGCATCCCTTTGCGTTTTCCATTACACCCATACATTGGGTTGGAAATCCGCAGAAAGTCGACGCGAAGCGGACGGGGCCTGCGCGCGCTACGCGTCCGATCGCGTATTTATTCATCTAGCGGAAGAAAGAAGCTTTTATCGGTGTTTGCGAGAACCTTTCGCCGCGCGACATAGAGCAAATCGATTCGGAGGGCCGCGTGCTCGAGCAGGTGCTCGCAGGAAAAGGGAAGAATCCCATTCGGTCGCGTGAAACGAGAAATTTGAAATTCGTGCAGAGGGACGCCCCCGCGAGATTTGCCTCAACCTCTAGCCGACAGAAATCGAGGCGAGACGTCGCCTCACTCCCACCAACCGCCTCCTCCCACCACCGTTCGCCTCACTCGCGTAACGCTAGGTTCGTGGCCCTGTGCCGGCGTAGCCTAATATCTCTGAGCAGTCTGAAAACTTTACTCTCAGACCGAGTGGCGTGGATGCGTCGACCCGGTGGTGTTTTAAGGTTTTTAAAAGACTGCCGGTGCCGTTCGTTTCCTCGCGGATGCGGAAGGAGAGAGACGGTGAAGTCGGAGAGAAAGAGCGAGGGTCGCGTAGGGCGCGCTGCTTTGAAATATTAAGTGACTGATGGATGAGGCTCCTGCGGGGAGGAAAGAGAAGGTTCCCCCTGCACCGCGCAGCCAGCACTGCCTGCCACGTTTGCTTCCGTTCTCTTACGCCCCCTAGCCGAATGGGACGCAGCGTGTCCCATTTCTTAGGAATTTTAATTCGAGTCCGTGGCCACTGTCGTCGACCGGCGCTCACAATCAGTCGCTTACAAAACACGCGTATCTCGCGTTGCCTCGTAATAATAATAGCAATGCCCGTGATAGTAATGTTTATTACCTTGCTACAGAGGGGAGGGAGACCGACGTCCTGATTGCGAACAACTTCGGTGAGGCTAATGACGATTCGCTTTGACCATGTTAAATAGAATTTCTCTGTTTGCTTGATGAGACGTGATAACGGAAACGGGGTGGGGTGGAGAGTGGCGGTTTAACAAGGAGAGTGCAAGTCTTTCGGGTCATTGATTTAGTTGAAACTTTGCAGGTTTGTAGATTTTGTCATCCAGTTCAACAAAATGTAGGATTATAAGGGCAACTACTCAATAATTTTTGAGATATTTATGATTAGAGCTTTATTATTCCTTAACTACTGCTTTATTTTTAATAATTATCAATAGTTATCAAGAGCCATCGTGGCTTAATGGCAACATACGAGAATTCCTATGTTTGGTGGTCCGGGGTTCAATCCCCGTCCATAATTGATATAATTTTTTTTCAATATCTATTTTTTATTTTTTTTTTTTTATTCTTTCGTCCATGAAAACATGTTATTTTAAATAAATTGTAAATAAAATTTCTTAATAAAAAAGAGTACTTATTATTGATTACAACAATGGTACTTAACCTACAAATAGGGAAAGCATAGATCACATTGACATCTTGCACATCGAATAAATGAAGTATTATTACAGGAACATCTGCAGTTTGTTAATAAGTCTTTTGGAAAACAGACTTGATTAATATTTTCAAAAATGACAAATATATACTATCATGAGAAAGCGTATGAAATAAATTTTTTTGTTAAGAAATTTTATTTACAATTTATCTAAAATTATTTGTTTCCAAGGACGAAAAATTAATAGCGAAATATAAATAGATGAAAAACTATTAATTACGGACGGAATCGAACCCCAGGCCTCCACGTAGGAATTTTTGGATGTCGCTTTTAGGTCACAAAGGTACTTGATAATTATTCGAAATTAATCTATAGTTAAGGCAATAATGAAACTGTAATCATAAATATCTCCAAAACTATTGTCTAGTTACCGTTATAATGATACATTTTCTTGATCTGGATGACTAAATCTACAAATCTGCAAAATTTCAACTAAATCAATGACTCGAAGGACTTGCACTCTCTTTGTAAGAAGTGTTCCGTGGCTCTCGCGTTACGCGAGTGTGGAACGTCCGTTGGGGTTATTACGAATTTCGAGCAGAAGCAACGGTTACGTAACCTGAGATGATACGTTGCCGGAATGTAAATATTATGTACGATGCGCGAGGAGGACGAGTTATTTTTAAACGTGAAACACATAGAGCGTTATAGGCAGGTTGTTTTCTTTTAGTTAGGGTTTGTGTTAACGATTCGCTTTCGGGGGTCCAGCGAATTTCTACGTAATTGAATCGCGAGGCAGTTAAATTTAACTATGAACCGTAGCCGAATGGTCAAGGTCGCGAATAACGTGCGCGATTTGAAATACGTCACGTGTGAAATATCGATGCGCAAATATTAATTGCGAACAAAATTTTGGTGGGAAAAACGGTATTCTTGGTCTTCGAT